TTAGAACTATTCCTGGATGTTAAAGTTAGCATATTTAATCGATATATACATATATAAATTTGTATGCTTATGTACATTAATATGCATATATAAGTATATGTATATTAATATTACACATATATATTTAGCCTAATCTAAAATTATTTCCTCCTCAGTCTGGTACTTAGAAATTTCTCGTGTATTCTCCATATTTTTTTCAGCATAAATTTGTAAAGTCTCAATCATCTTGCTATAGAAGTTATAATTGGCCCTCAGGATATGCTGGAATCTGATGCTGGTGTTAGTTTAGAAAAAAATGATGGGTACTGGGAACGGGGAATGAGAAAAATTGGCCTCCTCTTACAAGATAACTCTTTTAGATGAAGTCTACACAGATTTTTTTCTTTCTTTTTCGTTTTTTTTTTTGAGGAGAAGGAAAGAGGAGTTTATTAATTTGCCGGCAAATCAGGAGGTTGGCAGATTCCTGTCTCAAAGTACCGACATCCTCTATGCAGATTTCTAAATGATGTAGTAACAGTCTCCTCAGACTGGAAGGGTTGCTGCTTCTGTTTGGTGAGTGAGACTCAGTGATTGGTTATGAGCTCAGGGTACTCCATATTATTTAAATTCTGCCAGGGACTTGTTCCATTTTTTTGGTCCTGCTGTTTCATGAGTAATGCTTTACTCTTGACAGAAGAGTCCTGACAAGACTATGAATTCAACTGATATTGTAATTTGGCAACCTGTGGACACAAACTTTCAGTTTGGCTATTTTTAGTTTACCATATTAGTGGATCTGAAATGTGCATTTCATGGCCCCTGTAGGAGTCACCAGACATATTTGTTCCACTTCTAATTGAAGATAAGTAATTTCTGCTATAAGGGATAAAAATGATCATCCTAAAAACAAAAGACTGAACAATGATGGAACTGCTTGGCAAAAATATGGGTCTATAGTATTAACCCCTCTTTCATTTCTGATTTTAATTTATGGATCATTCAGTCTTTGGGTCGCTTTTCAGATTTTACCCTTTCCTCTTTTCTGCTAAAATATCTGAATATAGGAGAGGGATCACTGTGTCATTGATGCAGTCCTCAGTTCTACTGACCTTGTTGGTCTCAGCCTCAGTGTGTATAGACTAGACTGCACCATGGACTGGGCCATTGACCCAGCCTTTTAGGCTTGTACTGTTGGTACCCATCACCAGAATCTGCACCTGGTCCTTTCCCTTTGCTCCTGAAATTTCTACTTGACTCCCTTTGCCCTTTTGGCACCTCTTTGTTCTTTTAGTGGTCACAGGAGAAACTGAAAATCTCTTATACAACATGAGCAGGCCATGGTGAGAAGGAAGTGTGTCTCAAACTGAGCTATCTAGCCCAAAATAATTCTTTCCTTTTTCCAGCAGAATCATTGAGACTTGCTCCAACTAAGACCAATTACAAATATGGTTTCATAACCCTGTGACGAGAGAACACCAAAGACCTGGAATAGGGAAATGGCGAAAAAAAAAAAAAAAAAGATAAGAGATTAAAACACAAATATCTCTTTCATTTGGACATTTGTAAAGCTGTGAAAACATTATACAAATTAATAATCTAATAAACTATCCAGAAAGAGGTACAACAGGATCCAAATAAATAACTCACAGGAAGACTGACTAAGGAGATACCATCTGAAGCAAATCTTAAAGATCAAGTAATCCTAGAGAGGAAACAAGCTTGATATTGTATTTGGGTTTAAATCTCCTGGAGCTACAGTTTTAAGTTTACTTGCTTTACCAGTAAGGAGAAACACTAAATATAGGAGTCTGTTTCTAATAAAAGAGCCACCACAATTTATTTAATGATGGATTTATTTATAATGTAAATGAACAAATTCCATTCCCCAGACCAAATATATTCTGTAAATTAAATGATCCATGTGGCGTTTTCTACACCTTTTCAATGCATGTTACATTTTGAAGAGAATAAACAGGAACCTTGTACTAAATAGCTCAGAAAGAAATTGTGATTAACAATAGGTATCACAAGAAACATTTTCCTCTTTTATCAATCAGGACCCCAGAAGGAAATAGATAACAAACCAAAATCATGATAATTTGAGAAGGGACTATTTACAAAGGCAGGGTTTAGGGAAACCCAGAACCTGGAAGAAGAAAGAGATGTGGAGAGGGCCACCTTGATCAGACCTGAGATTCCCACATGGAGGGAGCCAGGGAATAAATACTGTGGCCTCACTCTTCCCTTCCATTCTGTCAGGACTCTGTGTTGGCCATACCTAACCAGAAACAAGGGAGAAGAGAACACATCGATGCGTCTATCAGGGTGTTTCACGGTGAGCACCTTGTATGTAAACCCATCTTCAATGGCCAGGAGAGCTGAGAGGCCAAAGAAAGAGGCTGACAAATCTAGTTAGTTTCTCAGAAAGAAACTTGTAATAGGGATTTAAGAACAGAAGCCATGTATCAGGCAGCCTCAATACGGTGCATTCCTACACCTGGCCCTCCACAAACTATCCTTTATACAGGAAGCTTTTTTGGAAAAACAGGTGTAGCTGGTCATGTCTCAGACCATTTTGCAAACATTGTGACCACCGGGGAAGTTAGATACGTCTCTTTATGAGGGGTTATCTATGTTACAGGCATTGTTTTTTGACCTTTCTGTGGGAATGCCTTGGCATGTAGAAGTCAAACATCCCATCCTCCATTATGGCAGTTTTACTTTAAGATGGCATTACTCTTGCTATGTAACAAGCTGTTCTCCTACAAAGGGTCAATCTCTTCAGAGAAGAACAGGGCAGACAGTTGATCTGGAGTGGCAAAGGCAAGAAATACATTACATGAATAAACAACATCTTTTCCCTTCTGTCAGATTTCTTTGTTCTCCCTCTTTCTGAGACCACCTGACTATAAACACTGTATTTTAGAGCCCACTACCTCCTAAACCACATTATTTGGTATAATATCTTTTTTCTTCCCAAAGCTTATGATTTGGATATACAATTTTTTAAAGTCATCTAAGGCTAAATCAATATTTCAAATAATTTATATTTTTATTAGTGGGGAGCACATTCTAGGTAGAGGGAAAAGCACATTGAAAAGACTCATAAAAGGGTTCTGGAAACAGTGGGTTCTATGGGGTTAGAAACACTGAGAAGGCTGGTGTGATTATGAAAGACTGTATTTTTAGTGTGAAAGAGTTTAGGTTTTTCTTACAAACAGTGGGGGAAACCAGCCAAGGTTTTTAAGCAAGAGAGGGAGAGCAAAAAAGGTAAAGTGTAGAAAACTAGATAAAGGGAAATAATGAATCTACAGTGAATAAAGTTGAAGAAGCAGGTGGAGTTTTACAAAATGGCTATTCAAGGGGATGGGATCTCAGAGATAATCTTATTTACTGATGAAGAATTTGAGGCCACCTTAGGAAAGACGGAAAGAACTAGAAAGGGAGTGAAGGCTGTGCTAGTCAAAGCCACTAACTAACAGGGCTGACAGTAAACTCTGGCCTTTCTTCCCAATAAATCACTCCCATAACTCTCCTTCCCATAGCAAACGACAATGATTAAACCTGTAAAAAGCATGGCCACACTGTCAGAGAATCCAAAAAAGTTACCTTGAAGAGCAGAGGAGGCAAATGGAAAGGGAAGGCTGCAACTAGGTGCAGTTTAATCGAAGTGAAAGGTAGAAAAGAAGATTGAATTTGATATTTGGAAGCAAAGATGCTGTTGAGGGAATTTATGATTAACAGGGTTGTGGACAGGAAACACTACCTTGCAGAGAAACATTTCTGGAAGCAAAGAGATTCCAAAGGGGACAGTGAGAGTCCGATTGGGATATTACTGACCCCTGAGTAAGAGATTACATGGTAAGTGATGGATGAATGCAGGGGCACAATTGTAACAGAATCTTAAAGGGAGAGAGACCAGATCTGAAAGAAGAAAAAAAAAATTTAAAGTGGGGATGGGGGGTACAACTGAGGAAAACCACTACAATTGTCAATACAAAGCTCCCTCCATTTGTCCAGAAGATAATTTTACATATCCTAAAAAAATTGTTTTTTATGATTTAATTTTTTCCCCGAGGAGACGTAGCCTGGGCTATAAAATGAAGGTGCGTTTCCTATATATCCCTTTAATAGTGGCAAAGATTCTTTGCTTGGCCAACTTTAGTCTGGTTTCTGAATCTTCTGCTAGGCCCATCATCTGTGCATGTCCTTGTAAAATCTAGTTGTAGCAAAGAAACTTGCTAAGTCAGTTTAGCAAGAACCCCCCATCCTGGGTATCTGATGGTTCCCAATACCTGATCAGGTTCCTCGTCTCCACCACTCCCCAGGTGACATCTGATTATCCTGGCCTGTCTTTAGCCAGAATGCTCCTCGCCCCTGATACTTCCTCTTAGTAATTTTCCACCCACTTACCTCTGCTCCTTGGCTATGCATTCCCACTTGCCCATGCTGTATTGGGAGTTGAGCCCAACATCTCTTTCCCCATTGCAAGATTGATTCGCAGGCATCCCTATACCTATTCTCATGGTCCTGAATCAATCTTCCTTACCGTGCCTTGACAAGTGTCACTGGATAGTTTTTCCTGTAACGACAGTCTTTTCTGCAAACCCTGAAATCCACGACTGTTTCCTCTTCAGGAAACCTGAGTGGGTCGAGAATCCATACTATCTTGAAATTTGAGGGTTTAAGGCTGAATTTCTGCCCATTTTCATTTTCAGGTAAATTTTTAGGAGTAAAGCCTGGGCAATTGTTGGGAAACCTTGCCCCAAAAGAATAACGATATTCACTTTTTCGGGGGGTGAGGGAGCGTTGTCTGTGTTTAAGATTAGGGGCGAGAAAGGCCCTAAGGCCGGTTTTTTTTGGGCTGGGAATTCCCCGCGGGTAGAAAGCCAGGTCCGAGCCGGCGGCGGGGGTGGGGCTGGAGCCGCCCGGACAGTCTTCAGCCCCGGGAGGGCGAGGCCTGCGCCCTGCGGACCCACGTGACTCTTTCGCCTCCCGGGACACCGACGCATGCGCACGGTGCTTTCGACTAGACTGCCGTGTCGCTGGTGGCGGCAGCTGCGGTGGCTGTGGGGACCCAGGCGGTGGAAGTGCCATCTTCGGCTAGGTTGGCCCAGGCTTTGGCTCATGGCAACAAGCGGCATCCATCGTAAGGTCAGCTGGGGCGGGTGCCTTGAAGGCAGCTGGAGGGGGCGATACTTAGGGCGGGAAGGGGCCTGCCGTGTTTCAGGCCGCACTGGGGCCGCGGCCTCCCTCTCCCGCCCTGTTTGAGGCCTGGCTCGGTCCCCGCGCCCAGCTGTCCATTCCTTTCTCCTTCCCACCTGTTGGGTGGAGCGGTGCGAGGTTTTCTTACAACAAACGTTTCTCTGGACGGGTGCGTTAGGTTGGGCGGGTAAGTGCGGGCCTCATTTACCTGGATTTAGGAAGAGATTTGGGGTAAGGCTGAAGCTCTCGCTTTCTTCAGAGCTGGAAACCAGCGTGACTAGGACGACTGGAAGTGGAAGGGGCCCATTAGCAGCCGCCAGAGGATTGGGAGGATATAATATAAATTCTATTAATGAAGCATTTGCGCGCCTTATAGGGTGCGTTCTCTGCCTTTTAGCTACATAAGCAACACTTTCGGGGCCCTAAGTCACAGCACCCCGAAGATCAGCCAAAGCTTTTGGCAGAATAGGATAAAAACAGAAAAATCGAACATCAGAGATGCTAGTGGGATCTTTTAAAGTAATCTATTTAAGAATGTTCACCTTTTGTAATCAGAGACCACCACTGGTGTTTTTTTCGCTCCAAAATCACATAAGTTAACACATACTACTTGCAGTTAATAAATACTACTTGAAGTTAATAAATAATACCGTTTAATGTATTATTGATGATGCTATATACCATATAATTTTGTGCTGATTCAAATGTTACTTTTTACTTTGATGTTCATGTTGTCTTCTGTTTGAGGATTTAGATTATTTGGCCACTGATCTAATTTGTTCAGAAATACTTTAAACTTTTCTACAGCTGGAAAGGGTGAAGTTTAAGAAAAAGTTTTATGCAGGGAAGTATGAAGCTCATGCTGGCACTTAAGAGTTTTGGGCTCTATGAGAGCGAGGTGGAGTAAAAAAAACAAAAAACAAGCAACTACTGTCAGGTTTCCCTCCTCCCCACAGATTTATAACCTCATTCTAGAGTTGCAAAAGTTGGAACTTTCCAGTGTTCATTCCCTGGTGAGGATAAAGGTGATGGAAAGGAGTTCCACTAAGAAGACCATTTCTTAGATTGTGAACTCTGAAATAATTAGGGATTGACCAAAGATGGCTACTTAGTAGGTGGTAGGAGATACTATATTTCAAATGAGAATAGAAAAGCAGGATATTTTTTTAGTCTCAGAATATTTTTACTTGCTTACCTTATAGTTGAATAATCAAAAGGATTTTCAAAGTCAAGTGATAAAAATTGTGTGCTGTTTTCTGAGGTGTGTTAACAAATAATTCTTCATAACAAACAGGACGTTTTAAAAATTAAAAATAGCCAAAGGAAGAAGAACGCAGTAGAACGCAGTAGTAGTTCCAGACAAATGGTAATTTTTTCAAAGATCTGGAGATGATGCATACCGTTATGTAAATATATATACAAAGTATAGTTTCTGGAACATAATAAATATTGAATATATGGAAACTTAAAAAAGGTCAGTCTGTGAACAATCTGCTTAGTTAGCCTCCAAAAACAATTGTCAAAACCAGTGCTTATGACAGCCTCTTTTCTTCTAACATCTCAGATCTCTAAGTTGGTTTATCTGTAGACGAGGAACAGAGTGATTTGTGGATTGCAAAGCTAGTTGATTTGCTGTACCCTAATTCCTGACTTTCAATCTTTAATGATGACTTAAGATTTTTATATATTGCTCTGTTTATGAAAAAGAATAACCAATGGTACAATTTTTCAGTACGTCTACAGGCATAAGAGGCATATAGAGAGTAAAAAGAATGTATTAGATCAGATATCCCATTTTAAATTGTTCGTCATTTAAGTCATCCTCCAAAAGACCTTTTAAATTTTAAAATGACGTGAATTGTTATATATTTAATGTATATCATAACTATACTAAAAGTTAAATGTATTTTTTTAGTATACTATATATTCACTTTATAATTTATTATGTTTCCTTTTATACTTGTATACTTTATGCCTATCATATGACTTTATAAGGAAGTGTAATGGAATAAAAAGGTATCAATGGTTTGGTGAGTCGAGAAAAGGAGTACTTTTGTTAGTCTGAGGGAAAAGCCTGTGTTAAGGCTCAGATACAAAGAATCTAATAGGCTCTGGAAATGGCAATGAGGAGGAATATTGTAGGATAAATACTTTTGGAAAGTTAAGTTGGGACCAGATATATCACTCACTTGTTCAGAGATATTTATTGTGTTGTTGTATACCAGACACTATTTTAAGTTCTAGGGACATAGCAGTGAACAAAACCAACAAGGCCTCTTTCTTACTGAATTTAATATTCTAGTGATATTAATTTAGTTTATCTGGAGCAGTAGTGCAGTAATGTTTTTAAAATTTTTTGACTGCAACCCACAATAGGATGTACATGTGACATCACAACCCAATAAACAGTTGAATTGTTTGTGTGTTTCAACAATATGCCTTAATGTGTGTATGCACTCATACATGTTTTTTTCTATTTTATATTTATCCATTTTAAAAAAAATGAGAAGCTGGTTTAAAGCAGACTGTAGTTTGAAAAACATTGATCTATTGGAGAGATAATAATTACTTATTAGAGTGAATGAAAAGAAGGGGATAGTTAATTTTTTTTTTCTAAGAAAAAATATGGAATGCTTCATGAATTTTTGTGTCATACTTGCTTGGGGGCCATGCTAATCTTCTCTGTATTGTTCCAATTATAGTATATGTGCTGCCAAAGTGAGCACAGGGGATAGTTAACTTTTTAAAGTTTATTATTATTTTTGATTGACAAGTCATAATTGCATATATTTATGGGGTAAGGGTTAGTTAATTTTTATAGCAAGGTGTATGTGATTATTTTGTGAATGAGGCTTTGAGAGGTTAAGTAACTTGCTCAAAGTTCCCTAATGAGTAGCCAGGCTAGATCTTTAATTCAGTTCTGTTGACCTAGAAAGTCCAAACCCTTAACTATTCCTATTTGGTGATGAAAGCAATATGCCAGGTTTTAGTATGGGTGACTAAGGACTCTGATGTTATTTGTTTATTATTCAATGAATTGAGTGTGTACTAGTCCTCCAAGTACACTATATCTCTACATATGGGTAGATCGGGTCCTTGCCGTCAAGAAATTTATAATCTAGTAGGGAAGATGGACATTGAACAAGTATCACAATTGTGATGTGTACCATGGAGAAAAAGACAGAATACTCTGGGAGCATTATTGGGGGAAATCTAACTTATTTTGAGGACGTGAGAATACTTTTCAGGAAGTGATGTTTAAACTTGGCCCAGAAGAAAGATTTGGCTTTAGGTAGTTTGGGGGTATTGAGTGGGAGTGTACAGGAAGGGTAGAGGGATGAGAGAACATTCCAAGTAGAAGAAATGACATATACTAAGGTTCCTAAGGTGAAAGGAATGGGATTGGGGAAAACAAAAACAAAGACAAAAAACAAATAGAATGTCTTGGCTGTAAAAGTTAGTAGAGAAGAGGCAAGAATTTTGGTGTTAGGGCGGGGTTGAATCTTCGCTATGTTCCTTACTACTTGTATACATTTGGACAAGTTATTTAACCTTAATAAATTTTAGTTTCACTATCCGTAAGAGAAAAAAATGGCATTTAACAAAATATTTGTTCAATAAATAACATCTCATTCTAGCACTCTGGGAGGCCGAGGTGGGCGGGTTGTTTGAGCTCAGGAATTCGAAACCAGCCTGAGCAAGAGCGAGACCCCGTCTCTACTAAAAATAGAAAGAAATTAAT